TATCTAATCGTTCGAAATTACATAGTAAAAAAAAAGTGATTATAAAGATGCAGATTATCTTTATGTTATTGGTGTTGGTTTACCACGGACAGGCACATCATCATTGAAAGCAGCTTTAGAAATCCTTGGTTTTGGTCCTTGTCATCATATGTCACATTTATTTTATGATCCACAACGAAGTTTACAATTTCTTCGTGCATTTCAGGGACATGAAATTGATTTTAAAGAATTAATGAAAGGTTATGGATCAACTGTTGATGCTCCAACAGAAGAATTTTATGAGAAAATTCATCAAGTTTATCCGAAAGCAAAACTTATTCTGACAATTCGTGATAATGGATGTAAATGGTTTGAAAGTATTAAAAATACAATTGGTCCAATGGGAATTCATCGTCGTTATTTAATTCTTTTTTATCCAATTCGATTTTTACGTTTACAATGTCTTGTTAATCGAAAATTATTTCAAAGATGGATTGAAAATTATGGAAGTTTTGGTCCTCAAATTCATGATTTACATAATCAACGAATTATCAATGAAAATTCCAAAGAAAATTTATTAATTTATAATGTAAAAGAAGCTTGGGAACCTTTATGCGAATTTCTCCATGTACCGATTCCAAATGATATTCCTTTTCCAAATATTAATGACACAAAATATCTTCAACATATCTTTTTTATTCTCAAACTTTTCGCCACTTTTGTTTGGATTTGCATTTTACTTTTCATTTCTATTTTCATTTATTGCATTTTTAGATTTATTGCGTTCATTTAGAGAGACAATCTTTTCCAATAGGAAAGATTTGCATTTGAGAATACGAAATGTTTCTCGAAAGATTTTCTGAACAATATTATTAAATTCATCTTTATACGTTTTCGATAGTAAAACACAAAACAATAAATATTATCAGATATAGATGGACAAAATCAAATAATTCTTATTTGATGATTTCATACATCTACTTAAGAAATGAAATAACATAATCGAAATATTTCTAATAATAAACGAATCACAAATATTGATTAAAGTTGAATATTGAACGATATACTAATATATTCATTCTTCATCTTTATCAAAATCTTGAATTAAGTGACCATGAAGATGAATTAAAATCGTAAAAAGAAGAGTAAATAAAATGAACCATTTGAACATTTGTTTACTTTTCTTTTGATTAAAATTTGCATCTTGTCTAACTGTTTTGACACATTCAATGGAAATACATTCATTGAACCAATCATTTGTATCGAAAAGAACTTTCAGATAGAAAACAGATACAATTACAATTGAAATTCATCTGAAGATAAATAAATAATATCCTCACAGCCAGTTGTGTAGATTTTGTCTTGCGAAATGTCGCAATTGATAATATTCTACCAAGAAATTTCAATGGAAAACATCATGGTACTGAATATCAACACTCATGTTCACAATTAATGGTTGACGAGAAAGTGAAAGATTTCGTCTAATAGCGATAAATGAGAATCTAATCAAGCAATCAAACAAATCTGTTCGTTGTAAATTAACAATTTGTTCTGTATGAACAATCCCAATTAGTTTGATTGACTGAAAAACATTTTCCATTGTGTTCACGAGGATTTTTCATAACGATTGATCTGATCGATGTTTCAGATAACATCTTGAACTAAATTTATACAATAGACAAATACATATGGATGAACTACGGTAAAACAGATCAGATGAGCAAGAACAATTGTGTTTAACTGGACAATTCCACTTCGAATCGCATGGAGAAAAGCGTGAA